GAATCCTTGTAATGTCACTGTAATTTAAAGTCTGGCACACACAGTGGAGTTGCACCAAAATCAGTAAAATACGTTTGCATGATAGGGGGTGTCTTCACAACACAGTTAGCTTGAGCATAACTTGAGTTACTATTGTGAACACCTTCATGATAGTGCCACTAGGAGTTTGAAGGTGCCCAGCTTAAGATGTGTATCACACACATCCACCGTACTGGAAATGTCCAGTAGGAAGAACTTCCACTTCAGATATGGAGCTTTATCTAAACATCCTCTCTAATGTGTCCTCAGCAGAGACTCAGGATTCCACTTCGGGTTGTCTACATCATGCTAAATGTCCTCTTGCAAGGTTTCTTTTGATTCTCTTAAAGGCAGTATCTCTGTATGCCCTCTGTCAGTTTTTTTTGTTTGTTTTTGTGTTTTTGTTAGCAGTCATGTCAGCCAGATGAGTATTGGAACTAGATACTCTCTCCTTAGAGTGCTGGTAGTGCATTTTTCATGCTGATAAAGTGGTTCTTGGGGGCAAACCTGGCATTCATCCATGAAGTCCATTCTAGAGTCCATAAATCACAGGAGATAGCACACGCTAGTCCTGTCCCATGTTATCATTGAAAAAGCTGTGGCACACTTGGCATATGAACACTGTGCTAAAGATATGTTTAGTCAAATCCAGAGTGTTGAGAAAATAAAGGTAATCTGGGCTCTCTCATGGCTGTAAGGGACAAAAGTCTTGAAGCCTAAAATATCTAGGTGCATCAGCTGGTGTCTGAGATACAAGGCATAGATTGTCTTCACCCATGCCAACTACTGTAGAGTTAGTTGGTGATCAGCATATGGATTAGCCTAGCCTGGGTACGAGGCTCGTTGGTGCTTTACTCACCTGTGTGGTACTAGGACTTCTGGGGGCATATCCCATGGTTCTTTATGCTGCAGTAAATTAAGCTGCTATATGCATCTTTCCCAGTGAATTGTGGGGGATCTCTTCTGTCTTTCTGGACATGGTCAGCAGGGTGGGGAGTGGCAAGGTCCCTTCTGGCCCTGTATATATCTGATTCTGTGAAGACATTGGGGGACTATCAGCACTAAGGTAGTTTAGCCTGCATTCTTACTACAAGTGGTGGGTTACCTGTCAGACTGAAAGCCTGACTTGGGCTTTTGCCTACAGCCCCACATGAGCCAGCTAGCAAAGGTTGAAAGCACCAGTAACTTTGGGTGAAAGAGGTGTGTGTGTGTGTGTGTGTGTGTGTGTGTGTGTGTGTGTGTGTGTG